GAGTGACCGATTGATGTACGTCTTTGATGCAATGATGTCTCTGTTTGGAAAAGACGTAGAGAAAAATATCATAACTCTCATCACAAATTCAAATGGAATTGCACCTAAAAATGCTTTTAAAGCTCTTAAAGCTGCAAAATTTAAATGTGCCAGAAATGAGAAGGATCAGCCCATTCACTTCCTGTTTGATAACCAACAGAAGGAAGATAGAACAGAGGAAGATGTGTCTGTCTTTGAGTTCTCTTGGGGAGTAACAGATAAAAGAATGAGAGAGTTCTCAGACTTTCTAGAACGATCTGCACCTCAAAATGTAAAGAAAACACAGAAAGTATTGACAGAACGAATCAGACTGACAGCCTCCATCCAAAACCTGAAAGAGAGAATCGAACTGGCAGAACTAAAGCAGACAGAAATCAGACAGAGTCAAGAAGCTCTGAAGAAATATAAAGAAAAGATAAAGAAGAATGAAAACTTCACTGTAGAAGTTGATGAGCCCTACAAAGTTAAAGAAGATATTGATGCTGGGATGAGGGTTTGTTTTTACAAAGCAGCTACCTGCTGTACTGTCTGTAAGGAGAACTGTCACTATCCTGGATGCACAATGGCCTGGTATCCTGAACACTGTGAGGTCATGAAAGATGGCCACTGCACTGTTTGTACCAATAAGTGTCCTGTATCAGCTCATGTGAAAGAAAAACGAAAATATGTGACCAAGACAAGGAAAGTTCAGAGGACTTTGGAAGAAATGAAGAAAAAGTATGAGAAGAATAAATCAGAAAGTGACCAGAAGTCAACTCTTTTGGAAGATCTTAATAAAGAAATGAACCAACTGACAGCAGAGAAGTCACAGTTCCTGGATGAGTCCTACCAACATGTTGTCAGACTGGAGCAGATCGCTCTGAAAGCTGATTCAGCGTCCACATTTGTCCACCTGGACTTCCTGATTGAAAAGATAGATGAGAAAGGAGACACAGAGAAGGTCCAGAAACTGGAAGAGATGCGAAGCAGAGTGGATGAAGGAACCAGAGGAGCTCTGCAGTACAAGTTTGGAAAACAGTTTAAGAAATAACCCCCCCCCCCCTCGAATGAAGGATGATACTTTACTGTTTTGTTATAACTGAAAGGTGGGATTAAATGTAAATATGGTTAATATAGATATCAAATATGTTCATCTGCTCTTTGTTGTTGTGATAGTTTATAATTATTTTTTTTGTCAAAATAAACTGTAAAAGTGTTTGCTGTTTCAGAGCATCTTTTCACTCCATGGAGGAGTTTATTTTGTTGTTGTTGTTGTTGTGTTTCTTCTTTCAGATGCTTTGATTTTCTTCATGTTGTAAAATAAACAGATTTCATTAAGACCCTACAAGTGTTTCATGTGTTTTTGTTATACGGCAGTTTGTGACAGGAGCTGCTCAGGTTCCTCC